TGATGTGTAGTTCCCTCCCGTCCATCCTATATAGACCTTGGTACAGCCATTACACTTAGTTTTGTAGACACAGTCTCTGGTTGTGTTTGCCGGAAGGCGATCCTTCAACTGCACCAGTGCAGAGCGCAGATTCCCCCTCCCCTCTGGAAAGCTGATCTCATATTAGCCGTGTTTAGAATTCTTCGAATTACCTCCGATGTCCCTGGTTTATATGGGATAACAGCTGTCATGATCCATTCCCTGTTGGTTTTCACTACCGGTACCAACGCCCTTCGCAATTGGCGCCTAATCAAGCTGGCTGGATATCCACTATCCCGAAGTTTCTTCTTTACCCCAGTTTTGGCCGCTATGCGATCAGCTTCTTCTGTGCACAGGGCCCTTACACGCCTTAATATTGATGAGGTAATACTGGCGAACGCCGACTTCGGATGAGCAGACGAGCAGTTCAGAACTGCTCCAGTGTCGGTTGGCTTCTTGTACACTGTGGTCTTTGGTTTCCCCCGACCTTATGTGGCACACAGTCTAAAAAGGCTAGTGTAATCGAGGTTGACTCCATCTCCATACTAAATTTGATCTGTGGACTCAGTTCACTGAAATAGTTCTTAAACTCATTAACCTTGTCCTGTTTCATGACGACGAACGTGTCATCCAAATACCGCCAGAATATCTTAGGTGGGTACGGGAATCCGGCTAAAGCTCTCTGTTCAAATTCTTCCATAAATATATCTGCCAAAACCGGGGATACCGGAGATCCCATTGCTAGACCCTGTTCTTGAGTATAAACCACTGAGTCAAAGACGAAGTGGGTGAGATTCAGCCATGCTTTTATGCCTTCCACTATTTCATCTACCGCAAGCTGTGTCCGTTCTGAAAGGGTGGTGACCACTAACAGCAGTCGCTTGGCTATTTCTAAGGACTCCCCTTTTGGCACATTTGTATACAACGAATTCACATTGAAACTTACAAGGATGTCATCTGGTTCAACAGTGACACCCGCTACTTTGTTGGCGAAGTCATATGAATTTTTAATGTAAGTACTAGATTTCCCAGTGAGGGGCTTTAAGATACCGGCCAAGAATCCGGCCAGTTCATACGGTGGGGAACCTATTCCGTCTACTATCGGTCTCACCGGGACCTCTGGTTTATGGATTTTTGGAAGGCCATAAAGTCGTGGTTGGATTGCACTTTTGGGGTACAATCGATACCAGTTGCCTTGCCCTAAGTGGTTTATCACGGACCGCAGATATCTTCCAACTTCGGCTTTACTCTTATTCATTATAGACGTAATATTCGCATTGTTGATCTCCCGATAAGGACCCTCAGCTAGGTGCTGCTTAACCTTCAGTAAATAATCACTCTTGTTCATAAAAAACAGTGGCCTTACCCTTATCTGCCTTTGTAATCACTACGTTGTCCATTCGTTTTAAGGTGTTTGAAGCTCTTCGCTCTGCTGGTGTAATATTTGGAGCTCCGGGCTGCTGGGACTTAAGGACTGTGATTAGCTGTACCCGTAGCCTCTCTGCCTCCACGCTAGGGATTATTCTTCCCGCTCTTATCACCTTTTTTCTCATTGTGAAATTCAAG